TTAAATTATGTAATTTAAAAAAAAAATTTATAATTATTGCACTATTTTTATACACCTTACTTTATCTTTGGTAGATCCCCATCTCTTTATAATATCGCATAAAGTTTGCTCGTTTGAAACATTAGGTTCTAAGAAGGCAATTTTGCCACAATTGTCGACGCCCAACAAAGCATTGGAAATAATTTTAAGTTCAGTTAAAGACAGTGAATGTATCAAGGTGCCATAAAAAATTTGAGAAATATATGGAGCAAGATTCCATTGTTTCTTATTAACAGCCCCGGTAACGATGCGTGAACCCTCAGCAAACCCTTTTTCTTGATCTGCGATTGCATATAAAGTTTGCTCTTTTATAGAAATAGCTACAGGAGATGAACCATTTTGCGACTCGATTCTGAATTTTTGTTCCATTTTATCTTCAATGTATGGTTCTATAGTGAAGCATGTTTCAATAGGAACGTATGTCACGGCATAAGATCTACCTTCTTTTTGGCTAACAATACTATAAGTATTATCATTGCCTTTTATTATCATCCAAACCTGAGTATTGCTTGTGGTTGGACTCATAAGGTAGATGAAATTACCCTCGTTCGCTGTCCAATAAAGAGATGTATCTTCATTTGATTGAATGTAAATTGGTAGTCCAGGAGAAGGAAAACTTATAAAGAGATTAAAAAGAAATTAATTAATTAACGACAAATTGCTAAAATGAGAAAAGAAATATTTCTTACGACATTCTTTAATAAATATTTTTTGATCTTTTAAATGAGTTTCCCCTTTCCTAACGTTGAAAAAAAAATCTGTCAACATATAAATCTAAAAACTGTACACTGTACACCTGTACCTAGTGATGTGCCATTTATATGATACCTGAAAAATTTTAGCGTACAGTACGTACAGTACAGATATGTAGTATAACAATATAAAGTATTGTGCTGTTACTCCTTTTTGATTGATCTTCCCACGCCCAAATCTTGATTCTGCAGTTGTCTTGTGATCCTCACTTGCGAATATTCTACGGACAGAGCTTAGCGACAGAGCAGAATTATGTGATTAGTTAATTAGCGGTTAGGGGCAGAGCAGGGACAGAGCAGGTTTTATAGTATCACGTGATTCTGCTCTGTCCCTAAGCTCTGTCCGTAGAATTTCCGGCTTGCATGACCCACCCGTGATGGCGTTGTGGCTCTCTTCTTTTCGATCACGTGATTTACCATCACTTCGCATTAAGAAACTTTGTATATAATCACAAAAACCTTATAATCACCATTAGGGACTGGACTCGTGATAACTCGTGACTCACGAATTAAACTCAGAAGAGACTCGAATATATTCGAATCATGTAAT